GCCCCATAGGGAAGCTCCACCGAATGCCCAAATGCTTCGTCCCGCATTCCGCCGCCACCCAACTTTTGGCACACCCCTCACACGTTTCGTGGCCCCATAGGGAGCTCCATCTAAGGCCCAAATGGCTGCGTCCGCATGCCGCCGCCACCCAATTTTGGTACACCCCTCACACGTTTCGTGGCCCCATAGGGAGCTCCATCTAAGGCCCAAATGGCTGCGTCCGCATGCCGCCGCCACCCCATATTTTGGCACACCCCTCACACGCTTCGTGGCCCCATAGGGAGCTCCACCGAAGGCCCAAATGGCTGCGTCCGCATGCCGCCGCCCGCCCAATTTCGGCACACCCCTCACACGTTTCGTGGCCCCATGGGGAGCTCCACCGAAGGCCCACATGGCTGCGTCCGCATGCCGCCGCCGCCCAATTTTGGCACACCCCTAACACGCTTCGTGGCCCCATAGGGAGCTCCATCTAAGGCCCAAATGGCTGCGTCCGCATGCCGCCGCCGCCCCATATTTGGCACACCCCTTACACGTTTCGTGGCCCCATGGGGAGCTCCACCGAAGGCCCAAATGGCTGCGTCCGCATGCCGCCGCCACCCAATTTTGGTACACCTCTCACACGTTTCGTGGCCCCGTAGGGAGCTCCATCTAAGGCCCAAATGGCTGCGTTCGCATGCCGCCGCCACCCCATTTTGGCAAACCCCTCACACGTTGCGTGGCCCCACAGGGAGCTCCACCGAAGGCCCAAATGGCTGCGTTCGCATGCCGCCGCCACCCCATTTCGGCACACCCCTCACACGTTTCGTGGCCCCATAGGGAGCTCCACCGAAGGCCCCAGTGGCAGACCTCGCATGCCGCCCGCCACTACGACAGCCTCACGGGGGACCTCACGGGCCCGCTGGTGTTCATCGAGCCCCGCACGTCGGAGCCGTTCACCTTCCGCACCTCCAAGGTCACCCGGACGGGCTTCCCGTTTTCACACGGCAGGGTCACCACCACGGTGGCGTGCCAGGGGCGCACCATGCGGGAAGGCGGCGGGGCGGGGGAACGGCGCCGCCGGGCAGTCTACGGCCGAACCCTTCGAACGCGAGCGGTCCGCAGCCGGACCTTCTCGGTCCCGCGGACTCTCGCCCTGGGCCGTCGGCTGTCTTGCGCGCCGCTCCCTCGACCGACGCCGCCCAGGCGTGATCCTGGACTGCGGCCGCCACGAGGTCGGGAACGGCAAGAAGGAGGACGACGACTGGCGGCTGGAGCTCTACGCGCTGCTCTCGCGCGCCACGCGCCACGAGGATCTCCTGCTCATGCGGGCGCCGCTCATCGAGTTCTTCCTGGCAGGGCCGCCGGAGGGCTTGCGGAAGCAGCTGGGGCAGTTTGCTGCGCGCGCGAAGCGGCGCAGGAGGGAGGCGACGGCCCTCGCCAGAGAGCTGGGCTTCAGCGAGTTCATCCGCGAGGCCTGACCTGGGGGGCGGCCCCGCACCAGCCAGCGGCGCGCGCTGGTTGTCGCTGACGCCTGGATGACCCCAGCTCGTTGTCGGGATTTCTCGCCAGAGGATGACCGGCGCCTGTCGGGGGATTTCACCCAGATCGCGCCATTTTCGCACGCCTCGCCACGCAGTGCGGGGGCGCTGTCCGTTGACTCAGAGTCGCAGTGGACAACCCCCGCGCGTCGATGGGGCTCCCTCGGGATGACCAGACCGCGTCGGCGAGGACTTCCCAGGCACTTTCGCGCGGCGCCGCCTGCGCGCTGCATTCTGCGCGGCTCGCTGTCGGTCTGGAGGCAAAAACGTCTCCCCTCGTCTCTCGCTCCTCCTGCTTCCCATTGCTCCTTGACCGCGCGCTTCCCCGTCTCGTTTCTGCCGCTGCTGACCTGCCTTCGACATCTACACGGTGTCTCCGTCACCTCTTCCTGCGTGCCCAGTAACAGGTCTCATGATGCGATGATGATACTGATGTGTTGGCTCGCCCCAGTGAGCTCTCCTCCTCCGCCCGCCACCTCCTGCCCGCGCTGCCCTGCGCCTCGTCCATGCAGCGGCGCGGTGCCTATGAGAAGAGGGGCCTAGTTTGCGTGCCCCCTCCTTCGTCCTATATCCGCGCGGTACTCGCAGCTGCATATGGTTGGGTCCTTCGCCCGGCTAATTTTAACATTCGTAATAATTTTTATATATATACACATTTAACAAGCCAGGATCGACCCACGAACTTGGAAAGGAATATAGACATGTAAGGTGTTGCAGCGTTTGAGAGACACGTGATTGGGCGACGGGCAAGCGCGATGCTGAGTGTATCGATCTTGATGTACTATGCAGAGGGCTGCGCTGTGCTGTGCTGCGCCGTGCTGAATTGCGATGTGTCGTGCCGCGATTGTGCTCTATAGCGTTGTGGATCGAGTCCTCCTTTGCATCCGAGTCCAGACCGAACTGATCTGGATCTTAAGCTCGAACTGCCTGAGCACATAGTAGCTGCCCCAGAGCTAATTGACAGGGGGACATGCTAGGAGGACGCGCCGCGGAACGTCCCAATGCATGCGCCAGGCGACATGCCAGGGGGCGTTCCATAGGGACGCACCGCGGGACGGTCCAAGGGGATGCGCTACGGAACGTGCCAATGGACGTGTCACGGGACGTGCCAGGGGACGCGCCGCGCGACGTGCCAGGGGGACTCGCCACGGGACGCGCCACGGAACGTGCCAAGGAACGTGCCGGGTTGCAATGCTGAGTGTGCCTGGGCACATGGTAGTTGCCCCAGGGCTAATTGACAGGGGGACATGCTCGGAGGACGCGCCGCGGGACGCACCAAGGTATGCTCCAGGCGACGTGCCAGGGGACGTGCCCTGGGGACGCACCGCGGGACGGGCCAAGGGGACGCGCTACGGAACGTGCCAATGGACGTGCCACCTCATGCTAGACATCCGATTGGGCGAACTGGACACGTCAAGACAAGTGGTTCGCTCGGGACACCCTCCGCACATCTTCATGTTAGACGTCCGTTCCAGCCCCTCAGGAAGGCCCCCGGAGGCCAATGTCAGATACCTCCTAAGTGGCCTGGACACGTGGAAGCACTTGGTTCCGCCATGTTAAATACCCCTTGGGCGGCCTGGACACGTAACAACACGTGGGACCAGCTCGGGTCAACCAGATTACATACACCCATGAGTGACCTGGACACGTAAACACACGTGGGACCAGCTCTGGGCAACCATGTTCGATACACCCTTGGGTGGCCTGGACACGTTAAAACACATGGCCCTTGCTCGGGGCAGGCATGTTAGATACACCCCTGGGTGGCCTGGGCACGTAACAACACTTGTTTCAAACTCGGGACAACCAATATACCGCCTTGGGTGGCTTGGACGCGTAAAAACACGTGGCGCCAGCTCGGGACAACCATGTTCGATACCTCCCTGGGTGGCCTGGACACGAAAACACATGGTTCCAGCTAGGGAGAACCATGTTATGTCCCCCCTTGCGTGGTCTGGACACATTAAAACACGTGGTGCCAGCTCGGGTCAACCATGTTAGATACCCCCTGTGTGGCCTGGATGCGCTGAATTCGCGCCCCCGCCCGAGACATCCTCGCAATGCCTTCCCTGGAGAGGCCCCCCAAGTCGCCACCCCCTGTCCAGAGCAAGACAACATAACTTTTCTGTATGACGTGCCATGGGGACGCACCGCGGGACGTGCCAAGGGGACGCGCTACGGAACGTGCCAATGTACGTGCCACGTGACGTGCATGTGTTTTCAGGCTTGCCCCACCCTGGGGCGTTAGGAACACATGCGTTTTCACATATCTCCCGCCCTGGGGCGTTCGGAACCCATGTGTTTTCACTTTTGTCCCGCCCTGGGGCGTTAGGAATCCATGTGTTTTCGCGCTTGCTCCGCCCTGGGACGTTAGGAGCCCATGTGCTTTCACACTTGTCCCGCCCTGGGGCGTTAGGAACCCATGTGTTTTCACGCTTCTCGAGCCTCCTGGGGCCTTTTTGGGGGCGGGGGGGGTAGCAACAAGCGCTCCTCGAACAAATACCCCGATGCAGAATAATGCATCCCGGGGCCTCCAGGGGCCCCCCTGAGGCCTCCTGGGGGCGGGGGGGGGTCGAGAAGCGCCCCCCGAACATAGATCCCATTGCAGAGCAATGCCTCCCGGAGCCTCGTGAGGCCTCCTGGAGCCTCCTGAGGCCTCCTGGGGCGTTCGGAGCCCATTTGTTTTTGCGCTTCTCCCGCCCTGGGGCGTTAGGAACCTAGGTATTTCACGCTTGTCCCGCCTTGGGGCGTTCGGAGCCCATGTGTTTTCACGCTTCTCCCGCCCTGGTGCGGTAGGAACCCATGTGTTTTCACGTTTGTCCCGCCCTGGGGCGTTAGGAACCCATGTGTCATAGCGCTTCTCCCGCCCTGGGGCGTTAGGAACCCATGTGTTTTCACGTTTGTCCCGCCCTGGGGCGTTAGGAACCCATGTGTCATAGCGTTTCTCCCGCCCTGGGGCGTTAGGAACCATATATTTTCGTGTTTCACCCGCCCTGGGGCGTTAGGAACCATACGTTTTCATGCTTCTCCCGCCCTGGGGCGTTAGGAACCAATGTGTTTTCACGCTTTTCGAGCCTCTTGGGGCCTGCTGGGGGGCGGGGGGAAGGGAAAAGTGATCCCCGAATACATATCCCAATGCAGAACATATGTAAAACAAGCTTTTGACCTGAGACATCCTCCGAATTCTGGTTCCCAGGAGAGAAACAATATATAACACAGAACTTTTCGCTACAGAAATCCTCAACAAATTTTGAAAAACAAGCGTTTCGTCTTGGTCTTGGACATCTTCAAAAATAAAACAATATATAACACAAAACACGCGTTTCGCTCGAGACATCCTCAACATATTCTGAACATCAAGCGTTTCGCTCGGGACGTCCTCAAAAATAATTCCGCTTGTTCTCTTCCAGTTTCGTTATTTACCGCAAATGATTCCGCCGGCCCTCTTCCCGTCGGGTCCGGGGCAAACCTCAAAAAGAGAGTCCTGGGCCTATGCCTTTTCCGGGAAAAGCATGTGAATTCTGTGCTTGCCAATGGTTCTGGCCTTCCCGTATTCATATTGCCTCAATCTTAGCCTTGCCTTTCTCTTATCACGACTGTACCCTTGTCAATAACAATTTGGTTTGAATCCATGTTTCATGATTTATGCATTATCGTGGTTGTTGTTTTCGGAGTTTTTCAAGTGAAAGCACTTCGCCCTGGTCAGCCATCACTCTCCGAACGCACCGTGGGGAAAAGGACGACAGTCCAAAGTGAGGCAGTCGGAGCTTCCGAGTGCGAGGGTCGCAAGCCGCAGTGGGTTCAGGAGGGTGCGATCAAGCGCTTGAGAGGGCCGGTTTTTAATATTCACGTCGCAGGTCCGTACCACACTGCGGGAAGATTTCTGGTTGATCTGGCCGTCAAAGCTGGCAAAATGAATTACACCATGTACCAGAGGTGGGGAGATTTGGGTAAGGCTGAGCTGTGGAAGGATCAGCATTGGACCGACCTTGAAGATTGGTTCCCAAAGGGACACACGTTACGTGATCTCGGCTGTGGGACCGGCAGGGCGACGATACTTGGCACTGTCGCGCGCCACCCGCTCAACATGTTTCTGCACAGGTGGTATGCGTGCAAGGACTGGGAGCAGATAGTGAAGAGCTCGGAACGTGGAGTGCCGGACGCCGCCAAGAAGAAGAGGGATGAATGCCACCCTCTCGCGGCAGTCTGCCAGCCAGGAGAGGAGCCATGCGAATGGGATAACATCCTTCTTCAAGCGTTCACCGGGGTCCCTGCTGCATCCCTGACCCGGGCAGATCTTGAGCTGGCAAAATCTCGGTTACGCAATTTCGACATAATTTTCATAGTTGAACATTTCAGCCACACCCTTCAGCTTACCACCACGCGCTTGGGATGGAGGCCCGACCCGTCTTCAGGATCACTGAATGCTACACTTCACAAGGCGGACGAAAGCGAAGATCAAGAACGATTCCCAAGAGGCGAGATCACACGTGAGCAATGGCAAGCAGTCATGGAGCGTAACAGCCTCGACATTGAGTTTTACGACTACATGCGCGAGCTCGCTTTTGGCATGCTGCGGGCCGATGGCCTTCCGGTGCCGCCAGAGGACGAGCGCATCGTTGTCCCACAGTGGAGAAATAGTGTTCTCACGTCGAGACGCGGAAGCTCACAAGAAGCTCGCATTGTATAGGCTGGCCACATGATTGTTCGTCTTAGAAACTCAGCACCGCTACTTCACACATAAAGTGTGCGTGTGTGTAATATATACATAAATGCATGCAGACATACATACAAACATCTATGTATATACATATGCACACATCACATATCATATGTAGATATACACATGCATACATACATACATACATACATACATACATACATACATACATACATACATACATATATACATACATACATACATACATACATACATACATACATACATACATACATACATACATACATACATACATACATACATACATACATACATACATACATACATGCATGCGTGCATGCATACATACATACATACATACATGCATGTATGCATGCATGTATACATGCATACATGGATGCATACATGCATACATACATACGCATGCATGCATGTGTATGGATATAGGTGTGTATATATATATGCATACATACAGGACTGCAGTGGCGCTTCGCGCCATGCACCTTGGTCTTTGAAGCTTGGTATGCAGGCGGAATGGCAGGAAGATCAAGCCGACAATCTAGCGATACCTCCTTGTTGCCTTTTCCGGCATCGCCGTTACAATGATGTTTTTCGTCATCCTTCCTCCATGCTTATTTGTTCCTCATTCTCGCCATGCCGTGCGCATTCCCCCCATCCTTCTCAGCTCTTTTTGCGGAGGCTCCTCCTTGGAGAGCCTCTGGGGGCCTCACAGAAGTTGTTCAGGCTTTCTTAAGGCCTTCTGGAGGCCTCCCGAGCGTCTTCTGGGGGCCTCTGGGGGCTTCCTCGGGCCACCCTGCCTCCAACCGCGGTCTCCCTGAACGACCTGGTCACGATTTGAAATGCTTCGGAGGGTGTCTCGGGGCCACCTTAGGCTGTCATGGGGCTCTCTCAGGCTATCGAAGCCCTTTCGGATGTTTGTGGGGTGATTCTCGAACCTCCCAGGCGGCTTCGGACGCCCAGAAGACTGCCATCTTGGAGCGTCGGGAAGCCGAAAAACCAACAAATCCACCAACATGATGGACCCACGAACCCGGAAAGGGATAAAGACATGTGCAGCATGGTCACGTTTTCACGATACCCAACTGGGCGACATCTCACGAAACATCCCACGAGACACCCCGCGAAACATCCCACGAGACACCTCACGAAACATTCCACGAGACACCTCACGAAACATACCACGAGACACCCATTGAAACATTCCACGAGACACCCCACGAACAGGCAACCACTCAACCAGACACGCCACGAAACATTCCACGGGGGTGCGACTGGGTGTGGTCGTGCTGGGGTGTGGTCGTGCTGGGGTGTGGTCGTGCTGGGGCGTGGTCGTGCTGGGGTGTGGTCGTGCTGGTGTGGTCGTGCTGGGGGGGGTCGTGCGGGGGGGTGTCGTGGCTGGGGGGTGGTCGTGCTGGGGGGGTGGTCGTGCTGGGGCGTGGTCGTGCCACCCCGCGAAACATCCCACGAGACACCTCACGAAACATTCCACGAGACACCTCACGAAACAATCCACGAGACACCCTTTGAAACATTCCACGAGACACCCCACGAACAGGCAACCACTCAACCAGACACGCACGAAACATTCCACGGGGGTGCACGGGTGTGTCGTGCTGGGGTGTGGGTCGTGCTGGGTGTGGGACTTCTTCATGAAAAGTGGTCGTGCTGGGGTGTGTACTGCTGGGGTGTTCGTGCTCTGGGGGGATGGTCGTATTGCTTGGGAGGGGGTGGGCTGGGGGGCAGGTCGTGCTGGACGTGTCGTGCTTGAGGCGTGGTCCGTGCTTGGTCCTGGTCGTGCTGGGGCGTGGTCGAGCAGTGTGTGTCGTGCTGGGTGTGGTCGTGCTGTTGGTCTGGCTGGGTAGGGTCCCGGCTGGGTCGGTCGTGCTTGGGTGTGGTCGTGCTGGGGTGGGGTCGTGCTGGGGTGGGGTCGTGCTGGGGTCTGGTCGTGCTGGGGTGTGGTCGTGCTGGGGTATGGTCGTGCTAGGGGGGGGTCGTGCATTTCGCTCGAGACATCCTGCCAAAATTCCAGGAAATCGTACAAAAACAAACGAATTAGTCGAGACATCATCGAAATTCCTTCGCGCGGGGCGCTTTTCCGCGTCGCGGTCGGCTCTGCAAAACAAGCGTTTCGCTCGAGACCTCCTCGGCAAACTCTGCGGAGCAAGCGTTTCGCTCGAGACATCCTCAACACACGAAAAAGTGGCCCGCACCCTGTGATTTATCGATCGGGATTTCAAAAACAAGCGTTTCGCTCGAGACATCCTCAAATATTAATTCGCCGGCCTCCTTCGACCTCGTTATTTATCAGGGAAAAAATTCGCCGGCCTCCCTCAAGTTGGCACCGGGGGACAGGTTTACCACTAAAAGAGAACCCTGGGCTCATGCCCTTTCCGGAACAACCAACATGAGGACCCACGAACCCGGAAAGGGATAAAGACATGTGCAGCATGGTCACGATTTCACGATACCCAACTGGGCGACATCTCACGAAACATCCCACGAGACACCCCGCGAAACATCCCACGAGACACCTCACGAAACAACCCACGAGACACCTCACGAAACAACCCACGAGACACCTCACGAAACATTCCACGAGACACCCCGTGAAACAGTCCACGAGACACCCCACGAACAGGCAACCACTCAACCAAGGCGTGTGGTCGTGCTGGGGAAGTGGTCGTGCTGGGGTGTTGGTCTGCTGGGGGAGTGTCGTGCTGGGGGGTAGACGTGCGGGGGGGTGGTCGGCTGGGGGGTGGTCGTGCTGGGCGTGGTCGTGCTGGGGCGTTGGTCGTGCTGGGTGTGTCGTGCTGGGAGTGTCGTGCTGGGGTGATGGTTCGTGCTAGGCGTGTCCTTCTGGGGGCGTGTCCGTGGCGGGGCGTGGGTCGTGCAGGGTTGGTTCGTAGCAGTGGTGAGTCGTGCTGGGTGAGTGAGTGCTGGTGTGGTCTTTCTGGCCTCGGTCGTGCTGGGTCGGGTCCGTGCTGGGGTGTTGTGTCGTGCTGGGGTAATGGGACGTGCTGGGGTGGGGGGGGTCCGGGCAGGGGGGTCGTGCTGTGGGTCTGTCGAGGGGGGGTGTGGTCGTGCTGGGGTATGGTCGTGCTAGGGTGGGGTCGTGCATTTCGCTCGAGACATCCTGCCAAAATTCCAGGAAATCGTACAAAAACACACGAATTAGTCGAGACATCATCGAAATTCCTTCGCGCGGGGCGCTTTTCCGCGTCGCGGTCGGCTCTGCAAAACAATCGTTTCGCTCGAGACATCCTCGGCAAACTCTGCGGAGCAAGCGTTTCGCTCGAGACATCCTCAACACACGAAAAAGTGGCCCGCACCCTGTGATTTATCGATCAGGATTTCAAAAACAAGCGTTTCGCTCGAGACATCCTCAAATTTTAATTCGCCGGCCTCCTTCGACCTCGTTATTTATCAGGGAAAAAATTCGCCGGCCTCCCTCAAGTTGGCACCGGGGGACAGGTTTACCTACTAAAAGAGAACCCTGGGCCCACGCCCTTTCCGGGAACAACAAATCCATGAGTTTTGCCTCTTGGGGCCTTTTGGGACGTTTTGGAGCGATCTTTGGGGGTGTAACGGCTTCTTGGGGGTCGTCGTGGACCGTCTTGGGGCTCTCTGGGGTCGTTTCGGGAGCCCGCCGAAACGCCTGGAGCCTTCTGGGGCCGTCTTCGGGCTCTGATGAGGTTCTCCCAGGTCGTCTGGAGGGTTGCCCGAGAGGCCCGGGGTGGGCCAAATTCGTTAGGGGGAGGGGCGCTTTTTCCAGGGTCCCCAGCCTTGTAAAAGTAGATGTGAGCAGGAATCTGTCGGATTGCTGGTCTCCCCGGCCCCCCCCCGGCACACAATTGCACCCACCAAACCACCCCAACCCAACCCGAAGGCTCAGATTTACCCTCGATTTCCAGTGGGGGGGGTTCGGGGAACATCGAAACATGATGGACCCACGAACCCGGAAAGGGATAAAGACATGTGCAGCATGGTCACGTTTTCACGATACCCAACTGGGCGACATCTCACGAAACATCCCACGAGACACCCCGCGAAACATCCCACGAGACACCTCACGAAACATTCCACGAGACACCTCACGAAACATTCCACGAGACACCCCGTGAAACATTCCACGAGACACCCCACGAACAGGCAACCACACAACCAGACACGCCACGAAACATTCCACGGGGGTGCGACTGGGTGTGGTCGTGCTGGGGTGTGGTCGTGCTGGGGTGTGGTCGTGCTGGGGAGTGGTCGAGCTGGGGTGTGGTCGTGCTGGGGTGTGGTCGTGCTGGGGGGTGGTCGTGCTGGGGGGGTGGTCGTGCTGGGGGGTGGTCGTGCTGGGGCGTGTCGTGCTGGTGCGGTGTCGTGCTGGGAGTGGTCGTGCTTGGTGAGGTCGTGCTGGGGTGTATGGTCGGCTGGGTGTGTCTGCTGTGGTAGGTCCGTGCTGTGTTCGGGTCGTGCAGGGTGTGGTCGTAGCTGGGGTATGGTCGTGCTGGGGTGGGGTCGTGCTGGGGTGGGGTCGTGCTGGGGTCTGGTCGTGCTGGGGTGTGGTCGTGCTGGGATATGGTCGTGCAAGGGTGGGGTCGTGCATTTCGCTCGAGACATCCTGCCAAAATTCCAGGAAATCGTACAAAAACAAAGGAATTAGTCGAGACATCATCGAAATTCCTTCGCGCGGGGCGCTTTTCCGCGTCGCGGCCGGCTCTGCAAAACAAGCGTTTCGCTCGAGACATCCTCGGCAAACTCTGCGGAGCAAGCGTTTCGCTCGAGACATCCTCAACACACGAAAAAGTGGCCCGCACCCTGTGATTTATCGATCGGGATTTCAAAAACAAGCGTTTCGCTCGAGACATCCTCAAATTTTAATTCGCCGGCCTCCTTCGACCTCGTTATTTATCAGGGAAAAAATTCGCCGGCCTCCCTCAAGTTGGCACCGGGGGACAGGTTTACCTACTAAAAGAGAACCCTGGGCCCACGCCCTTTCCGGGAAAAACACATGTGGAACCCTTACCCCCCCCAACCCGAAATTCGGGTCTTCGGGTTGGGTTGGGGTGGTCTGGTAGGTAGTCAACAATGACAAATGGGTCCACCCCTTGGGTAACCCAATTTAGCCCCCACGGCCGGGGGCTTGGTTTCGGCCCTTTGCGGGGCAGTTTCGCCGCCGGGAGCGCTCCGAGAGCATCCGCGATAGCTTCCAGACGGCCGAAGAGGCCTCCAAGACGACCCCAGAGCGCCCCAAGAACACTCCAAGACCGCTTAAGATGGCCTCAAGACAGCCCAAGAGGCCCCCCAAGAGGGCCCCCGCGAGGCGAAAATCTACCCATTCCCTTCGGAAAACATACATGTTTAGCATCTTCGCTTGTTTGGTATCGGGAGCGTCCAAGGTGGCCCAAGAAGCCCCCAAGATCGCCCCAAGACGGCCCAGGAGGCCCCTAAGAGAGCCCCAAGACGGCCCAAGAGAGCCCTACAAGCCTCGTCAAAAATAAACAGAAACGCAGTTGGAAATCACGACGATCGATCTTCTCAGGCACT